ACACACACACACACACACACACACACCTCCCCCCAGCTCATTATCCTCTCATCACCTTTTGTTATGTGGTCACACTGTCACACACACTTATCAGCAGCTTCAGTTTTCCTCTGTAATCCTATATATATGTATGTGTGTTTGTGTGTGTGTGCGTGCTGTTGAGATTTGAAGCAGTTTTTGTTCCATCTGCAGTGTTTTGATTCACGTTACGGTCTCATCCTCGTATTGCAGGATGCCGTCCTTCGCTGAAGAGTGTCCTGGTGAATGAGCCGTGTCATTAATATTTATACTTCACCTTTAAAATATGAGTGTGCCATCAACCAGAAGAGGTTTTTTGAACCGAGACCAAGGCCGCTCAACTTAAACCATGTAAGAGCTCTGGGCGAAGCATGTGGTCTGCTGTTTGTAATGGCGACAGGCAGGTTATGCTCACAATTTACTTGGAAAATATGACACATACTGTAGCATCCTGAATACCACAGCTAGTATGACTATTTATGGCATTGCTGAACACTGCCATATCAATATTGGTCAGTTTTAGTAAAACAACACTAAGTGACAATCCAATACAAACTATTTACAAGTTTATTTTATCACCATAAACTCTCAAAGGATTATGACAAACTGTACAAGCATCGACTGCCAAAAAAAGCAACAAACATGGTTGAAAGCAGTGAAGAAGTAGGAGAAACTCTCGAAAGACAAAAAAACGACGATGAGGTTTTCTGTTATTTCTTTACTTTTCGACCTTTTTTTTTATAAAAGGGAGTTTTTTTTATACTTGATTGATAATTTAAAGCCTCACTAACATCGTGTTATCACCAAGATGGCTGTCTCGCGGCAGTGAGTCGAACAGCTGACACATCCATGTCTGACAGCACAATGCAACATGGATGTTTGTTTTTTTTAGAAACTAGTACATGTTAAACCTGGAATAACATTATTTGGGATCCATGAGAACACTGGGAATTAGCTGTCAACAAACCCGCGTACTATTTCTGAGGAGGAAATTGTGAAAATGTGTTCACCAATAGTTTCTTATGTGCATATCCAGCAGACACACATCACCTCTGTCAGTTTGTTTATTTGCTTGTTGGTTTACTGGGTATTTAGCAGGATTACACAATTACTGGACAGATTATCATGAAACTCAGTGGAAGGATGTGTAATTGGTCGGAAAATAACTCATTACGTTTTTTATGTGGATCCTGATCAGGGGGAGAAGCAAGTCTTTTTTTACCCGACTTTCTTTTTTTCAACATTTTCTTTGATTTCTGAGAAAAAAATTCATTTAATGGAAAAAAACAGGCATGTTTACGCTGATATTTATGATATTTATGAGTGTTCATTTGGTGCAGAGCAAAATAAAAATAGGGATCTAATGAATTTAACTGTGGTTTCATTAGAGGACTGTTGGGCCTTGGCTGAGGTTTCCACTCTTAAGTGTCATTCTTGCTCTGTTTGGTCTCCACTGTGAGACACCCCTGGCTCTTTGTCTCTTCAGTGTTCTGCTGTGCTCAAGCTGGTCGCTTTGTCTGTCCCCAGTTTGGTGCTAGTGAGGTCGTGTGCAGTGGTTTTTTATCGGAGCCAAAAATAAAAAACAAGCCGAAACTTGTTAAAATCCTCTGAAGAGCTGAGGGAAGCAGATGAGTTGCTGATGATTCTCTGTGGAGTTATCACTTCAAGCCATGTTGCCCGTTGTTAGAATAAAAAGTAAATGGTTACAGCAACTACTACTTTGTAGAACCCATCCAGTCAGTTGATTGGAGTGTATACACACTAGATTGCACCAGTTTGATTCATTAGTTTGACAAACAAACAAACTAGTGCATTCTGAAAGTATTCACACACCTTCGCTGTTGCAGCTTTCTGCTAAAATCAACATATTTCCCCCATAAATCTACTGTTGATATCTTATTGTATTGTTATTTTGTTGATGTGGTTCTTCACGTGCAGGAAGAGGGATCCCTCATTTCTGACTCTCCCTGAGGGTTCAGGACAGAGGATGTCGACCTATGAATTGTGATTTGTAACTGTGTGGGCTATGCAAATAAAATTTGATCGATTTATTGATGATTCTTGAACTCTTACATAGACATTACTTTTCATTTGCAAGACACTTGGAATTAGTCTCAGATATCTCCCATTTCTCTCGATCCTTTAATTGGAGCTCACTCGAGGTACAGTCATGATTGGATGTGGTTTTGAAACACACCTTTCTCTATAAGGTGTCACAGCTGACACTCAGTATCACAGCAAAAACCCAGTCAGGAGGTCGTAGCGACTGCCTGCGAAGCTCAGAGATTGGCCAATCAGGCCTTGGTAACAGAGGTGACAATAACCTGATGGTCATTTTGACTGAGCTGCGCTTTGAGTTTTAAAAAAAAGGCACTTCAAGGTCTCTCAAACATGTGAGAAACAAGATTCTCTGGTTTGATGACACCAATGACCTGTCAGGACCTCAGACTAGACACCGACCCAATCAAACGTCTCTGCAGACTTAGAGATGGCTCTGCACCGACTCATCAACTTGAGAGGACAGAAAATCCAGGAGTGCAACGATTGTCACATCACATTCAAGACGACTGGACACTGCAATCATGGCCAAAGAGTCTGAATACTTATTACAACATAATATCTATATTTAATTTTAAATAAATGATCAAACATTTCAATAATTAAATGTTGCATTTGTCATGCTCGGGTATAGAGTGTTGACTGAGGGAGACAATTGACTTAAATCATTGAAACATTAGGCTGCAGCAAAAATGTGAAGAACGTGAATAGATCAGATTTTCTTGTAATGCAGTGCAGATTGGTGTCAATACTTGTTTGAAGAAAATGTAATCAAGTATTAGCATAAATAGGAAATTGTTGCAGCTGGATGTGCAAACTATCTGCAGTGAAAATCAACAGGTTATATTCATTTACACATTAATAGGAGAAAGGTTACTAAATCGTACCACAACATAATCCTTATTTGAGCCTTAGTTTTTCACGTTTTGAGCTCGATGTTGTCTACGTTTAGATTTTTACTGTGGTTTGATCCCATTTAAGGTCAAATCCAAAGCACATCTTCTGTGTTTACTGCAACATAACGTTTGGTGTGAATGTCAGAGCGGAGACCTGGACGACTGCATTGTTTTCTATATGACAATATTGGACTGAGATACAAATATTTATTTACTATTAAGTAATATCCAAAGATTGAGGTTTTAGATGCAGCCGTCTTGTGGAGGATTTCACAGTCAGAGACGTTCACCACCACAGGCTGCAGTCACTCTGCCTGTGTGGAGGCCGTGAGCCTGTTTGGGGTAAGAAGTGAGGAAGCCGGTCTGTTCAGTCGATGTGTGATTGATGGGATCAAATGTCTTGTTTTTGCTGACAGAGGAGGAGGCAGCAGTGTAGTGTGTTTTGTGAATGGAGCTGATGTCTTTCCTTAAAATAATGATTTCCTCTTTAAGGCCCCGGAAGAAAGAGAAAGAGTAAATAGGTGTTCAATGATTTTCAGCTTGTGTCGTTCCGTCCATGTTCAGCATGTGTTAAGACGACATTCAAATCCATATATTTCACAACATGAGGAATATGAGAGTTTGTTAGTAAGCAAGATTGCACAAAAATTGCTGGACGGATCACCGCAAAATTTGGCGGAAGGGTGCGGTATGGTTCATGGAAGAAGAAATCAAACTTTTTCTTAGATTTTTTAGTGAATAATTTATGGATCTAAATAAAATAAATAGAGATAATTCAGAGTGTGAAAGTTGTTGCAGCTTGATTGACTGTTGGGTCTTAGTGGAGGTTTGTGCTCGACTTATAATAGCTACGGATGTGAAGAGAGATGAATTGTAGTTTATATTATTTATACCTAACATGATGATATTTATACTTGCCTTTCTACGTTCAAGCAGTGTTTATGCCGAGGGACCTGGAAGCAGGATTAAGATATTTCCATACAAACACCACATTTCGTCAGATTTCATCACTTATCCTTCTGTAACCTCTGCACACCATGTGAAGTGTCTTGAGTCAACAAATCTGAATCTAGGAAAATAATAAAATTAGGAAAATCATCACGTCTTTTATTTCAGCTTTTTCTAATGAGACGAGATGCGGCTGAAGGTGTTGGAGGCTTCGCCCCGGTTCAATGTGTGAAAGTGATGCAGAGCCATCTGTGGCAGAAACCCATTTGAATTTCATACGAGTCGAGCTCCTCTTGATGCCTCAACATGAAAGCCTTCACGTCTCCTCTCAGCCACGGCGGCTGAACTCGCCAAACAGGCTCATTGAGCTGCACACTACAAAGAGACACTACAGTGCCTGGCAATCACAAAATGCATCAGACACAGGCACCAAGCCGCTTCATAAATAAAAGGCCACTGTGTAGTGCAGGGCGTAATAACCATCTTGCTATCTTCTTGGGCCCTCGGTGGAAGGATGTCTGGGTAGCAGAGGGGGAATATGTGTATATTTCTCCCCCCCCTGGAGGAGAGATGATGAGATAGATGATGAGACAGCTCTATCTGTGGGGAGTTCCTTGGCTGTCACCCTAGTAAAGCTGTAAAAACTGGAAGCCACACAGAGATTAGCTACTGAGGAATAAAATGCAGGGAGCTGAAATACACACCTTTTAAAGATTTCAGTGCTGATGGCTCGGGACAGCTGACAGCAGCATGGAGTGAATTACTGATCATGCTGTTATCTCCCAGGGCCAGAAACATGAAACTACAGTCTGTTGAGTCCTCGCTCAACTGGAGACCAGAATAACTCGAGACAGAAAAAAGCTAATTACAACTCTTGATGATGGTGGAGAATTGTACAAAATTCTCAAACCAATTAAACAAGAAAAATATCTTTTGATTGCTACTCAGACGATTAGTTAGCGAAACAGTGGGGGATTATTTTTCTGTCAATCAACAAATTAATTGACTAAACCAATAAAAAACTATAATGGCACTTTTGAAACCACATATTAATTCACTAGATCCAGCAAATTGCACACTGTCCTTAATATCCCTAAAAAATCAAGATCCATGAATCATATAAACAAAATCCCTGCATCTGTACCCTGATCCAGATCTGCACCAAAATTAAATGGGCTCTTCCTTGGGTCATGTTTCACCCCTCCAGTTGAGTAGTTTTGCGTGATCCTGCTAACTAACAAATAAACGAAGAAAACATAACCTCCTTGGCAGAGGTAACAACAATCAAACCACAGTTTCTTTTCTTCTCTCTAACAGAAACAGAATCATCCGGTCTTCGGCCAGGCGTGAACGGTGGGACGCCGCGATGGACTCGCAGGCTGATGCAGGAGAAGTCAGACAACCAGAGCCTGGACCAGCCCCGAGCAGGTGAGTCACTCTGCCTTTAACCAGAATGATGATGTGTGTGTGCTCCTCCAGGATAGAGCAGCAACCCCCCCCCCCCCCCAGAAGTGGATTAGATCATAAATATCAATCACAATAACGTGATGTTATGATGACCTTTTCAAAAATGTCTGTTTTTTATGTATCCTTTGAATCAGCCCTCATAAAGTTACAGTAGGATTTCATATTGTACATGTTCAATTCATGATATGATATTTGGAATGACGCACACAGCCAGAAAGATGTGCATGGCGAGCGCAGTATTGGTGAGGACGTGCTATAGAGAGTGTGTGTGGTAAGAGTGTGTGTGTGCAGGTAAACAAGGAGGGCGGAGATTCCTGCCTCTCCCCTGCAGGTGAACTGAAAGGTCATGCAGACGAAGCATTGTGTTGGTTGTCAGGAGTGTGTCGTCACTGTCAAGGCCGTGCACGGAAATACTCAGAGAGCAGATGAAGCACAAAACTCAGATTAGATTTGTTTTTTTAAGTTTACATGTCACCTTCCTTTGCTTCTCGAGTCTGGTTGCAGCCTGAATATTCTGCACAGATTCCAACTCTCCTCTTTGTGAAATTGTCACCGAGCCGTGCCTCCAATCGACAGCACATAATCAGACCTGCTCCCTCTGTGGTTCCCAGGCTGATTAGCTGGCTGGCTGACATGAGCTGCATTCATCACAGCTGACAGTTTTATTATTAAAAATTCAGTTCGGGGAGGAAATCTCTTTATTGTTGTGTGGAGATAATGAGACGGAGTAGATAAAATAACACTGCTGCAAAGGGAGGAAAGAAAAACCTTTAGCCCCACTAGGAGAATTCGACTCTGTATTTTCATATCATTTGCATTTACTTTATGACTGCTAATATTGGGTTGTCACTCACAATGTAGCATTGTAATTCTCCATTCTGTGTGGTTATTGTTCAACTCTGACAGAAATGTATGCAAGTCAAAGTTAATGATATAAAGTGCAAATAACATTTATTAGTGCAATCCTGAATATTTTACACACACAATGAATCATTTAAATCATTTTAAGAATAGATTTGAGTAGAGGACCAGCTTCCACTCAGTCGGGAAGCACAAAATCTCAGAGACTTCTCACATTTGTCTTTTTCATCACAGCCGGCGGGAAAGATCAACATGTCAGGGCAACTTAATTTATTCACAACAGGTTTATATAACATGGGCGCAGGCAGGGTTTTCTATTTTTAAGTAAGTGTAATTTAGAATAATTTTATTACTTACTTTATCAAGAGGTTTATTTAATTTGGAGGTTTTGGCTGTGACTTGGTCAGTTTATCCACCGTGTGAACATAGATGTCAGTTTTAATTCTCTTCATCGTTTTATCACCAAATCTTGTCCCTCTTAAGCCATTTTAATCTTAAAACCACTCTAGGTTCTGATAATCTGATCTAGAAAAGTAATTCCACATCTCTGTGATATTACATAGTTTATATTTTTGTGGAGCTCTGCGGAATTGCAGGAACACGGACTCATAGGGGACAATTGATCCGACACCTCACTGTCATACATCCTCATTGGAGATGTTACATCAGAGGTGCTTTTTCCCCTCTACATTTGAGAGTGAAAAATGAGAATCTGTGCATCTCTCCTCCAGCGCTCCATTTGGTCTGCACAGCCATTTGTGCTTTGCTACCTGATAACACACTTAACCTTTATGAGGCTCGTCGTTATCTCTCACAAAGACACATATGCACCATGGCGAGATACTTCCCCTGGAGACGAGCAGGGCGAACAAAAGGCAGAACAGGTAGTGTAAGACGCAGCAGTGAGCGTGGCTCCGGGCTCAGGTTGCCGCCCCCCTCCTCAGCAGGCCGTCTGACAGTGATTGCATAATCTGTAGTGTGATTAAAAAGCCTGCCCCGGACCTCGGGGGATATTATCTTGGGGATTGCACAGTAGCGTCCAGCCCCAGGCTCTCTTACTGTCTTTTCATCCCTACTCCGCTTAACAAGATGGAGAAGGTGTGATCCGCCTTCAGCTGACAAGCCTCGGAGACTGCGGTTGCTAAGCAACTGAATGCTAAATTTTGAAACCCAGACAAATCTGTCTTTCAAGCATTAAAAGTACAAAGAACTAAAAATAGACGAGGAGGAGATGGAGGAGGAGGAGGAGCGGTTGAATTAATCCACATAATGTAAATGAAGAATGGCTCGTGTGTTGCTGAGGCATGTTATTTTGCTTATTTTGGCAGGCGACGCTCAGCTGAGAATAGTATTTTTCCACTGTCGTTTTTTTTCCGGGGGGGGTTTTGGGACGCCGTTGAGAAAGAGAAGCTGGTGGATAATCTAACACAAATGATCCTTGAATGGTGGAATGGTGTTATGGGGACAGACAGATTGTGCATGCCACACAAAGCAAACAGAAGTTAACACAAGCGTTATTTGTAGTTATGTGAGGTTTCAGAAAAATTTGACCCAGAGAGATGTTTGGATGTTGCTCAATACAATCCGCATTTCTGTCCACCAGGCTCAGGATTTGATGGTGTTGTATGAGTACGATTAGGCCGAGCTGCTTCAGATTTTGTGTTTACTTCTGTCACACCGGAGTAACATGATGTTTGGTGTGTTTATTGACGGGCGAGGGGATTGGTGCGGTTTGAAGCCCTGCTGTCGTTTCATCAATGTTGTATTCAAAGTGCCTCAAAGGAAAGCAAATCAAAGAACAAATGCATAATTGAATTTACATTACACACCTGGATGAAATATTTATTTTTTGATTCCTCATGTAAAATGCAGCAGTGTTGCAGAGGTTTGTGCGTGTGTGTGTGTGGGTGTGTGGGTGTGAATTCACTAGCGGCAGTTTGGATGATGCATGATAGGACTTGACTCAGTGTGCCAGTCGATACCGTAGCTGGACTCCAGGACACCCCGCAGACTTCCAGGTCGATAGGATTAGTCCGTCCTGCCCACATTCACGGCACTGAAGCCTCCTGCAGCAGATTGACTCTGAGAGACATCAGCAAACCTTCTGGTCAAAGATCTAATCTGCTCCATATGCGTCATTATTTTGCACTTCAATAATAATGTGTAAAACAACCATAAACAGTGCTACACAGTTAAACTATACAGCATAGAGTTCGTACCTACACCAAGGCCCAACAGTCCCGTTATGAAACCACATTTGAAATCACTGGAACAGATTTTTATTATAATCTGCACCGAATTACACACAGTCATAAACATCAGTCCTCTAAATGTGCCTGATTTAAAAAAAATTCAAGATCCATTATTTTTTCTCTGAGTAATCAATGAAAATGTTGAAATACATCTCACATTGTCCTGGATCCACACCAAAATTGAACTGCCTCTTCCCGGAGTCACATCCCACCTCTCCACAAAATGTCATGGAAATCAGTTGAGTAGTTTTTTGTGTAATTCTGCTAAATTAAAAAACAAACAAAACATAACCTGAGGTAGTAAAAGACAGAAAACTGCATCCTTTTTGATATAAGTAATATCCACCCTGCCACACCACAACAAACCAGTAACTATTTAATGCCCAGCTGTTGTTTGAAATAGACAACAGTGTTTTATAATTAGAATGGCACTCAGTATAGCACATTCCTCTGCCAAGGCTGAACAAACCCACACAGGAGTGTCTAGTTCTTATAGTACAAAGAAAAAAGAAAAAAGAAAGTGGTCCGGTCACATAAATTATTTATTTTTCATAAAACATCGTAAATAATGAAAGTGAAAAATAATTCCTTTTCATCAGTACCAAAATGTAATGGGTTCGTCCGAGGCCTCGTCCCTCCTCTCAGTTCAGTAGTTTTCCTGCAAACAAATAAACTGACAAACACACACGGGTGAAAACATAACCTCCTAGGTGGAGGTAATAAATGTCGTAGCGCAGCAACTAGAAGCTAATAAAGTTTTATTGAGTGCACTCAGCGTGTTTCGGCTAAAAGCAGATGCATTAGTCAAATTTACACTTTGCTTCTTTTTATATTTTCACCTCTTCCTGGAAAAGTTCAATAAAACAAATAAACAACTCATAATTGCTACTTTGCAGTCAGCTGTTCTGGATATTGAAAAATCACGAGGCACAAGGGAACGAGAGTAAATTAAAAACAATCGTCAATTCCTCCCCCTGCAGGCCAAGACTTTAGATGATGTTTCATTCATTGTTCTTTTCTCGAAGAAAAAAATTGTGTTGGTTGACTTTTTTAGTTGTTGCTCAACTAAGCAATAAAATAACTTCTGTCTTTAATCCACTTTATGTTAACATCTAGTTAACAAGATGTTCAACATCAATTATCTCAAGCCTTTTTTTAAACTGGGAAAGAATCAACATTAGCTACATTATGGTAATATCATTGGTCATCTCTCCTCTATTAATTAATGGACCTCAATGACAAAATTAGGGACACAACATCTATGAGTGTGTGAAACCTGGAGCAGCTTGATTGAATTTGAGGAGACTTTTGGGCCCTTGGTGTGTGTGGTATGTTCTCCACTGTGGTGCCATTGTAGCTGTCAATGGATCTAAAAACCTAGGCACCACACATAAGGACCCAGTACACACCCGGTATTAACATGTGGTCTTTGTGATCTGATCTCAAGTGGACACCTTTAAGTACAGGTGTGAACCCACTCCCATCAAAAGTAGATCTGATCACGCCAGAGTACATTCGGAGGTTGGTCTGGGCCACAATTGTCCTGATGCATGTGGGGACACATTCTAATGTCAGGTGTGTGCACACGACCTCAGACCTGTCCACTTCTGATCGGAACACAAAGACCACATGTTAATACCAGGTGTGTGGGGCCTATTTCAACAATGTGACGAGTGTTGTTTGGTTATTCTTTAGTTTAGTCTGATCTTCACACTTGCTACTGACACAGCATGTCACTTCACATGCTGCCTCACAGCCGACTACATCTCCAGATCAAGTCATCTCACAGCTGCAGCATCATGTGAAAGCCAATGATGTGTTTGTAAATGAAGGAGGATGTAAAAACATACAATACTCAGAGTTATTGAGTGATCGTGCTAAAGAAATCGTCTCTTTGCCGTTTCACCTTTTTGTCAGTGAGCGATGATTCAACCAGATCATTAGAGCTTCACTCATTACATCCACCCTCTTGCTGCATTCTGCTGCACAGGAAGTGATGTTCGTCATGTCTGAGCAGACGCCGCAGCGGCAGGTTCAGTGCAGCAACTGTGTGAAAGGTTGAGGAATCTGTGGGTTATTGAGAAGTTCAGCTTGTGTAAGAATGAATCAGAGATCTGTGAAGTGATGTGATGACTGACAGACAGAAGCAGATCAGAGGTGGCGGAGTTGTGGGAGCACTTTGTGATCGCGGCAGAGAAAAGACACCAGGAGCAGTAATGTTAGAGGTCTGAGCACAGAGCCATGTCTCACCGCATGACTTCTGACTTCAAAATCACTAATTGTATCGAGATGGCTTGATGTCACATCTGGATTAGATCCCAGATTTGGGAAGTAGCAGATGTGCAATTCGTCTTCAACGTGTGTGTTTCAGTTTATGGCTTTGTGTTGTGAAACCACAGCGCAACAGTCTTGGTGAAACAAATTCCTGTCCAGCAGCCTTCAGTAAACCAGTACGCACTTTCTGTCCCCATGTATTTCCCCCCCCCCCCCCGTTCTCTCAGACCTCTCCTGAGGGTTTGTGAGGAAAAATAAATATTTTTAGACATTATGGTCCAGAGCTGCTGTCACTTCTCTTTTTTCATTTTTCATAAACCCCAACCATGGGAAACACATATTCACCTCCCCCCTTTCTCACTGTTCATGCAATCGCCTTGCCTTTGGCTTCCTACTGCCACCCATCAGAAAAAAGAAAAAAAAAAAGCTGCCCCCGGGGAGAGGGTCTCCATAGCAACTGCCTTCACCAGAGCAACTCCTCAAAGCGTCCATCTGAGCTGCATGTCGCAGCCCCTTCGTTTCCACCTACTGCAGAACCTGGGAGTTTGTGTTTTGGGACAGAGAGGACGCTGGGAGTCGTCCAGGGCTGTGAGACAGGACGCCACAGGCCAAACAAGAGGGTGGAAGAAATAGAATCGGAGAGAGAGAGAGACAGAGAGACAGAGAGAGAGAGAGAGAGAGAGAGAGAGAGAGAGAGCACAGATGTCCAACAGCTGATCAGCGTGACAGGCCTCTTCAGAAGACGCACACAGGGCAGCCTCACATTCAGGCTCTGCTCCGTGCAATAAGATGACAGAAAGTTTACATGCTAAGCCTCGATGATTTAGTGGATGAGCCCTGCCCTACAATAACAGCTGGCACATGGATGAAATAGGTTTTACCGGAGTCGACTAAGCGAGCAGAAGACAAAGGCACGGTGGCTTCTACTCACTTCTACTGCAGGCCTTAAAATTGATACACAAGAAGCAGAAGTAAGAATGCGGGCAGCACAGACACACATGTGTAAACAGTGGTGCACAAACATTTACATTTTCTGACTGAACATGGAAAAGTCACTGTCCTCTCCCCGGGACCATATGGCCTCCTCCTCTCTGCCATTGACACAGCAGTGTCAAAGATTAAATCTCATATCCCTCATCGCAAGGGACCAGATCTTAATCCACGCAGTCTGTTGTTCAGTTTCCTTGCAGCCACAGTGTGCATCGTGACGGCTGCACTGTGCTTATTGTGTGGCTGTCGACCCACTGTTGTCTCACACAGCACAGGAGCTATAAATAGCTCTGTGCTCCCCCGTAGTTTAAATTCATCCAGCTCTGCTCTGAGTTGTAAATTGGAGCTGCACCACTCTCTCTTTCTCTCTCTCTCTCTCGCTCTCTCTCTCGCTCTCTGGTAACGTGGAGGGAGCAGAGGGAGGCTGAGCTGTCATCAACAGTCTTCTTTATCTTTTCCACTCGAGGAAGAACAGGAAGCAGCTGCCACTTTCGCTTCCACCTCACTTCCTGTCTCGGGCCTTGAGTGCAAGGCGAACACTGTGTCTGCAATATGTTGTGGTTTGTGCTGAGTATGAAATGTGACAAACAGGATGATTTCTGTTTTTTATGTGCATGTTCACTTTGAAATGGCTGGATGTAATGAAAGAAGCTAATAGCTTTTTTATCAGATATCAGGAGAAACAACATCTTATAGAGGACATTAATTAAACTGTGTGTAATTTGTTCCCTAAATTTATTTTCTCTAAAATGAGCAGGTATTTGCTGCAGGCATTTGCTCATTATAGGGCACCCGACTTTGTGAGTCACATCATTTGAACCTGTCAGCATCCATTTGTTTTTGAGTGTTTGATGTCACAAGGCATTTAGGCTGATTTTTTATTTTATTTGCAGCTTCCAAATTTTTTTTTTTAATTAGAAAAGGAAAAAACTCTGAAAACTAAATGAAATGTTCATGTTTGCCCTCCTCCCACAGCCATCCACGAGTTTCCAGAGGACATATTTACCAAGGAGCAGAGGAGGAAGGGGGCTGTGTTGCTTCATACACTCTGTGTGAGTATTTCACACAGAATGGACCCAATTTTTTTCCTTTTTGTTTACATGCTGGACTCCTCACGCTCAGATCTGATGATATATTACAAATAGAGGCGTGTGTGTGTGTGTGTGTGTGTGTGTGTGTGTGTGTGTGTGTGTGTGTGTGTGTGTGTGTCCCTCCACTCTCTGATCTGTGCTCAACAACTCTACAGGCCATTTACATGTTCTACGCTCTGGCCATCGTGTGTGAAGACTACTTTGTCCCTTCCCTTGAGAAAATATCTGAGGTGAGCATCAACCCGCCTTCGAATACACTTTTCTTAAATCAACAGATCATTATTTCATTTGTTTTATGGTTTTTTTAACCTTTCAGAACCTGCAGCTCAGCGAAGATGTGGCCGGAGCGACGTTCATGGCGGCAGGAAGCTCCGCTCCAGAGCTTTTCACCTCTCTCATCGGTGAGTAGCTCAGCCAGTTTAGAGAGTACTTACTTTAGTTAATAATAATTAAGTTTTAATTATTCAGATTTAAAGAGAGAAATGTAGTTAGCAATTTCTGCAGTAGCAAAATCATCCATGAGATGTCAGCAAAGTCCAACTTCTGTAACCCCAATTACACTCTTGATTTTCACCACCTCTATCTATAGTCTCTGTGTGTGTGTGTGTGTGTGTGTGTGTGTGTGTGTGTGTGTGTGTGTGTGTGTGCATGCGTGCGTGCGTGCGTGCGTGCGTGTGTGCGTGCGTGTGTGTGAGTGCCAGGTGTCTGTACAGCCGCCCACAGAATCCGACAGGAGATAAACTGCTGCAGTGATTTTGATCTCATCTGAAACCAAACAAAGCGAGACACTAAATGGACACATCTGACTCCCTCTCTTTCTCCCCCCTGTCCCTCTGTCTCCCACCCTCAGGTGTTTTCATCACTAAAGGAGACGTCGGCGTCGGCACCATCGTGGGCTCGGCTGTCTTCAACATCCTGGTCATCATTGGCCTCAGTGGGATTTTTGCAGGCCAGGTAGAAATTTAAACAAAATGTTTTTGTGTTCTGTGTAGATGTCACTGAGAGTGAACACTAACATTTATAACTTCACTCCTCAGACAGTGGCTCTGACATGGTGGTCTCTGTTTAGAGATTCCTCCTACTACATCCTCTCCGTACTGATGCTCATCATGGTGAGATCTGCTGTTCTCCTCGAGAATCAACCTGTTTGCAGCTTTGACTTTTCCACGTTGTGTTTTAAATAATTGACTTTGTTCTCTCTCTAGGTTATCTATGATGCTAGAGTCGTCTGGTGAGTTCATGCACTTTTGAATTATGTTCATCATTTTTTTATTCCTGTCTTATACAGTTGTCCGTGGGTGTGTCCGCAAGTAATTTCGGCAAACTGGGTCCAAATGTTCAGGGAATGATTTATGTGATTGGTTGAGGGTCAAGATCAAACAAAACGGGTTATGGTGGTTTCGTTTTGTTTTTTTGTGAACGCGATACCTCAGGAACACCTCGAGGGAATATTTTCCTATTTTTTTGTATTTCATACAAACATTCAGTTGGATTTACAGATGAACTGATTAGAATTTGGTGGCCAAAGGTCCAATTTCAAGGTCACAGAGACCTCACAACTCACGCAAATTTCCCCATTGTGGGATGAATAAAGGATTATCTTATCTTATGAATGTGTTATCTTAACAAAATCTCAAGAGAATCCTTTTAGATTCGGCACAAACGTTCAATTGGACTCACAGATGAACTGATTAGATTCAAGTGGTCAAAGGTCAAAGGTCACAGTGGCCTTCTTCAAATTTTGACCGGTTGACTCAAATATGATCTGGTAAGATTTCAGTCAAAGGTCACGGCGACAGTCACAGAGGATTAAGGGCAGAGGATGTCACAACTTGTACAGATTGTGAAGCCCAATTAGAATTTTGATTTGTGAATTAGGGCTACACAAATACAATTACATGATTATTGATTTTATGAGTCTGGAAAAAAAAGATTTAGACTGGAATTGCACAGCTGTAGGCGGCGAACAACCACTTCTGCCTTTCGTACATGTTGCAGTATTTGCTTTATTTCCCGATGACGACGTTTTACACTGTTTTCACAGATACTAAACGTATAAATCAGTTGAGGTTTATCCTGGAGGCTCAGCTTGTTTGAAAGGTCTTCAAACTTCCTGCTCTTTCTTTAAACGTGGAGAAAAGGAGCTGAAATTCCTGTTTACACTAACTCACATTCACATCATCACTGAAACGTCACAGATTTACTTTATGCTCATTTGAAATCACGGCAAAATCACATAAATACCGTTCGATTAAAATGTGTGAAAAAATGCTCTGAATAATTGTTTTTAACAAGCGGTGCGTATGATCACAGTTCTGGAGCAGCACTCCCACAGTGGCTGTGTTCTGTATTCGTGTGGAAATTCATCTCCTTCGTCTCCTGCTCTGATTGGTGTCATGCCCTCTTCCTCAAACCTGTGTCATCACAATCATGAAGTCGAGGGTGTCAACGAGGTGATTGTGCAGTCCGTGATTGTGCAGCAAGTTAAATCGATTCACTTCAAAAAAACAAAACACCTCCATGTGTGTTTCCAGTCAGCCACTGCTCATTACAGAGTTGGCACAGGTTCAATTTAAAATCTGCTGTCAAATGACTTTTCATTTGTCTCATTTGTGTGGAGGAGGTCTGTGTCATCTGGGGCACACACTCAGCAATTTGGAGCTTGTTAGATTGATTTAGAAATAGTTGTTGGACTGATTTCTTTTGTGCAGCCTTTTCCTTCTAAACACGCTCATTTAGTGCTTCCAAGCTGTTGTGAATGTTTTCTTTTGGCCTTTTAAAAAATGGGCTTTCCATTGTTGTATATGTCAGTGGTTTTAATGAAAGAGTAGATTTAATCCTGGATTTAATGTCAGTGCTTTCCTCAGTGATAAATGACAGACTGTTATTGAATTGCAGCGAGCAGAGCCAAAGCCGCCTGGCTGTATTTCACCTCACCCCCTGTTCCTCTGGATCCACTGTGGCAGATTTGTGTTGTAGCTGAGTTTGCCAAATCACTGCATGCTCACCTCGCCCTATCTGAGTCTGCACATGTGCAGCAGTGCAGTCCGACCAGGCTCAGGGGAACAGCAAGAGATCCGTTTGGGTGTTTGTTAGGGAGGATGTGCACACACAGGTGTAGTGTGTGAGTAGAAGTGTGCACGGCTCCTTATGTGTTGTGTTGCATTTGTATTCCATGTGGATAGAGATGTCATCACATGGAGATTTTAATAATCAGAGAAATATATCATATAATATATATACTTTTTATAATATCACAAGTTTCCAGCTGAGCCTTGGCCACTTCCAACCAGTGAGAAAATCAAGGAGAACACCACTATAGTAATATATTGTGTGAAATAACCCAACCTGTTCTTATTTTGTCATGTGTATGTAAGATATTACAATCTAGAAATAATACATATTTGTTATCTTACAAAAGTCTTGTTTATAGAGACATAAGTAGAGAGTTGATGTGTGAATGTGTTGTTTCTTTTACTTTACTAGAATGGCCCAATAGTCCCCTCATAAATTCACTAGATCAGGATTTTTATTTAAACTGGACCAAAGTGCACAAGCTCGTAAATGTCAGTTTAAACGTGCCCGATTCTTTCATCAAGACTCATGAATTAAGGGAAATATTGAAGAATGCTTCACAATGTTAAAGAAAGTGGAACATTTCCTGAATCTGCCCACTGACCCAGATCTGCACAGAAGTTGAATCAGTTCTTTCCTGACTCATACTGATTCCTTCCATGTTTTGTGGAAATGTGTCGTAGTAGTTTTTGTGTGATCTTGCTTGCAAACCAACAAACAAACGGACAGGGATGAAACATAACCTCCTGAAGGTGGAGGTAGTGAAAATGTTATTCTCTTTAATTCGTATCATACGTATTTTAAATGTACATTCAAAATGCATTGTCCTCATATCAGACGCCGCTGTCCGTCAGCAGGATAGTGACATTTTAAATAGATGTTCAGTAAGTTTGTTGTGTGTGAGACCAGACTAACACAAATCTATTGCTCACTGTGCAGGTGGGAGTCCCTGCTCCTCATGACCATGTATGTAATCTACATTATAATCATGAAGTAAGTTTTAAAAAAAGACCAAACTTCCTCATCAGTCATCAATTCGCACTCTGCGTCTACGGATCTAAACCAACAGCTTCTGCTTGATCACAGGTTCAACTCCCAGCTCCGGGCGTTGGTGACGCGTCAGTTGAGAAACACTGAGCCGTGCTGCCTCAGATCAGACGATCACAGAGAGGACAAGATGGGGGAGGACGCCTCCGCTTGCAACACCTCCATGGTGCTGCTCAACAAAGGTCAGAGGACGTTACTGCTCAGGCTGATAAACGTGACCGCAAGTTTCTTATGCCACTGCACCGCTGACAGCCAGGGCCGCAGGCATTATGCTAACGAGTTGTCCATCCATCCCATTGTTGTGAACATGATATCTCAAGATTGCCTAGAGAGAACTTCTTCAGATATGGCACAACCGGTTATTTGTAGATGAAGATGAACTGATTTGATTTTCGTGGTCAAAGGTCAAGGTCACAGTGGCCAGTTGAACATGATATCTCGAGTCTGCCTGCAGGGAATTTCTTCAAGACTCCAACTCACATGCTGCTCAGAATGTTCCAAATACCGGAGTTGGGAAATTGTTGTTCAGACTTCAGTGTGCTTTGCAGATTTGTTACGTGTTTAATTCTTGTCTCTCAGGACAACATCACGGTCAGGAGCCTCCTCCTGTCATCATGGTGGATGAGCTTCTGATCCTTAACCCCCACAAACTGTCCTTCTCTGAGGCCGGCCTGCGCATCATGATCACCCCTCACTTCTCCCCCCGCACCAGGCTCTCCATGGCAGGACGCATGCTCATCAGTGAGGTACATGACTCACATCACAGGTTATCAGATCGGCACTGGAGCTCTCTGACAAACACATCCTGCTCTCCCCTCACAGAGACAGAGGCTAATCCGGACTTCGAAAAACCAGCGGGACAGCGAGGCGAGCTCCGGGTCGAGAGGCGGGTCGGCCAGCAACAGTCTGAAGAGGGCGGGCTCCTGCACTCTGGAGAACGGAGGAGGGAGGCCGGGGATGGGGGACGCAGATTTGGGAGACAAGCCGGGGGTCGAGGTCTGTCAGCAAGAGGAAGAGGATGAATATGGGATTTTCAGTCCTGTGCGGATACCAGGTGAGAAAGAGCCAATCCTTTCTTAAATAGATCAGATTTATTTGTTTACCTGTTGAATCCCGAGCCAGTTGATCACCTCACATGATCCCGTCGGCCCTGGCTCTCCTTCTTCACAGGTGGCTGCTGTGCGAGGGTGAAGTGGGTGATCACTTGGCCTCTGGGCCTCCTGCTCTTCTGCACTGTGCCTAACTGTGTTCTGCCACGCTGGCACCGCTGGTTCATGGTCACCTTCGTGGCCTCCACCCTGTGGATCGCCATCTTCTCCTACCTCATGGTGTGGATGGTAAGGAGGCAGGATTATGTGTCACCTTGAAATGTTCCCTCTGTCTACACTGTGTCGTGAAAAGCTGCCGTTAGCTTATGTTTCTTAATGATTTTATCAGGTCACCATCATCAGCTTCACACTAGACATCCCAGACTACATCATGGGAATAACCTTCCTGGCGGCAGGAACCAGTGTGCCAGACTGCATGGCGAGTCTGATTGTAGCACGGCAAGGTAAAGAAAACAGCGTCCAACTTATTATTCTATATCTCTTAGTCCTTTCTCCATTTTTCAGTCATGTTTCCCGTCTCTTCTCAGGCATGGGCGACATGGCGGTGTCTAACTCCATAGGCAGCAATATCTTTGACATCCTGCTGGGTCTGGGTTTCCCCTGGGCTCTGCGCACCCTGGTGGTGGATCATGGATCATCAGTATGCACTAACTTTATCACAATACAAATCATTGTTACTGATGTCTTCATGCATTTTGACAGAGCAGAGCTTTTGTATGATCACGTCTGTTCGAGGTCATAAAATGGTGACACTTGTTTTTTCTTCACAGGTCTTCATAAATAATAAAGGACTGGTGTATTCTGTCGTCTTGCTGCTGGCGTCTGTGTTCCTGACAGTGAGTGAACACTACATACCAAACATTAATATATAAATGGGAAATAACTGAAAAATAAAATGTCTAAAACTCTACAGCCCAAACGATTTGGATTTTTGGGGCTGAAGACGATACCGATATTAGTAAAACATTTCTGATTGGCGATCAGAATTAAGATGCTGTTATCAAACCCTTGTATTTGATGCTTAATATTTCACAGGTTAACCCTCAACTTTATTATTAACAACTCTGAATAAAAAGAAAATACAAACTTTTCAGTTTTGCGTAATTTTCCCAAAGTAAAAACCAAAACAAATGCGGATGTAAAACGTAACCTCCTTGGTGGGGGTGAGAAACAGGTACGGTTGCTGCCTGTCTTCCTCTGTGTTCCCCAATTCTCTCTTCTTTGAACTGTCAACAAAGACAATATGCCCAAAAATGCCTTTAGAAAAATAAATGCACATCTTCTCTGTAGCGTTTTTTACAGTGGTGCACATTGGCGATCCCGGTGTATAAATGTCGATATAGATGTTTCTGTGGAATGCTCATATCAGGTGTTATTATCAGCCAACCAATACATTGGTTGTAATAAATGCAACCTTGATCTGACCTACATACTTTCCACTAGTTGAGTGTTAGAAGGAGGTAGTTAAAACGGCTATACAAATATTTTGTATTGTATTTTAGGCCCTAAATGGTGTTGAAATATTTGAAAAAATAATATTATTATGACTAGAAGTCTTATATTTCCAGATTTAAAGGATTATTTCTTCATGTCAGAGCTTGATGTTGTTTCAGCTAAAGCTGCTCAGGTGAATCTTTTCGTCTGTCCCTCACCACTGTTTCTCCCCCTGCAGGTGACGAGTGTTCATCTGAACCACTGGAAGCTGGATCGTCGGCTGGGTCTGGGCCTGATTTTTCTCTACGCCATCTTCCTGCTCTGCTCCATCCTCTTCGGGCAGATGTGAGGCCTTAAAAGGTCAAAGGTCGAGCCCTGTCAGACAAACACACCGAGTACCTACCTGGCTACGTCACGTACTCTCTCCCGAAGCCAAAACAAGAGTGACAGCGTTGCCGTGTTCCGTAAGATTATTTAGAGTGACGCATACAACTACACAAACACGAAGTCTTTTATCAATAGCACAGTTGTTTTTTCTTTTTCCTCCTTTTCGTGCAGTGCAGTGTGAAGCAGTCAGTCTGTAATGTGGCAGATCAGGAAACTAACTGTTCTGGTAGTAGTTTGGTTGTTGCACAGTGTTGTGGCTGTGCACTGATATTCGTTGATATTTATAAATCCTAAGTGAGCAAAAATTTCAATTCTGTAACAATGTGAATTTATATTTCATAGAATTTTAATGCACAGAAATGAATTTTATTCCTAAAGAATCAACCCTGAGCGCCGCTGCGTCTTGTTAAAGTTCGCTCTAAATCTAAATCTAAATTTTGTGCTATCAGTATTTTATTAACAGCCTTGAGGCATTGACAAACTTATTATTGACTATCACACTAACCCTAACCCTAATCGTTAGTGCCTCCTGCATTGAGCACAAGTGAAGGTCTTGATGACACAAAGGTCAGGGACCGTCCCTGCAGCTCTTCTCCTCCATCGACTGTTCACTTTATTTATTTCTATTTTTAATGTTTGTGTTCTGAACGCTGCTAAAGCCGAGCAACTTATCTACAGATCAATAGAGGAGGTTGTTTTTCACCTGTCCGTTTGTTTTTGAGCAGGATTAGACAAAAATAACAGATTTCCACGAAACTTTCTCTAAGGATGGGATATAGTTCAGGAAAACCCAGATTACATTTAGGTGCAAATCCAGGAATTTTCTTTCATTCTAACATTGTGAGGTTCCCAGGGAATAATTTGTGGATTTTGATCCACGTGCACATTTGGGGAACTGATATCTAATTTAAAAATAATAATAAAATTTAGTGCAGCTTGATTGAATTTGTTTGGCCTCTAGTTTCCCTGCATCTTATCTGCAGTTATGGTTCATTACTGCAGTTTTAAATGAGACTAGCCAATTAAACTCCACTACAGGCAGCAGAACGGAACTAAACCAGTTGGGAACCATAATGTGACAGTATTCATCAGGTGGCTTTTATTTAACTAATTAACATCTTTCCTCCAAAGATGTAAAAAAGAAAAAGTAATCCTTAAATACTTTGTCATGCACCAGATGATGAACTTGTCTGTCGACCTTAGGTTTGAAGATGTTTTTGAATGTACACCCTCACTGTGGAAATATTTACATGCATTAAAATGTAGCAGCAAAGAACCTGTGAACACACTACGATGGAATATTAGCTCTGCAGCGAAGGGTCGTGTGTACTGAGGACTTTTAGAACAGAAACACTGATATTAAAAATGCACATTATTGTGACAATATTTGAAAGATTTTTGACTCATTACCTAGAAGCAAGTATTGGTACAGATTAGTGGATGTAAGAAAAAAGATGAACCTAGTGTTACAGTATTTGTAGGAGGTCTTATTACTATGAAATTAATATAATGTACTTCTTTGAGTGTCACAGACTTTGAGTGCAGGTTAGTTGTAAAACTTCACCTTTACGTACGACAATCGATGTTTGTATTGTTTCTTGTACATTTAAAGAGATTTAAGTCACTTTGGTGGAACATTTTTACAGTGAGCAAAAACCTGTTTCAGCGCACACGCAGAAAAATAACAATAATAAACTATAAAACTCTATATTTATACTGTGTGTGTGTATTATAGCAAATAATGCTGCATCTTCTGCACATATATATAAACCAGCTGCTTTTCTGTTCTGCAGAGAAAAAACATTTCATTCCTGTTGATAAAATTCGTCTTAGGTTTTGTGCTGTCAGTTTTTGGTATTTGCTGTTATTTTACCCATGAATTTAAAATCTGTTCCACCAAAGGGATGAGAGATTTTTGTTTTTGGATCGCTGTATAATTATGATTGTCTACTTGACTTAACACTTTGTACTGTTTGTAAATGTTAAATAATTTACATAGTTTTACAACAAATGTCTGACAGAGACTAGTTTTGTGGTGTTTTTTGATATTTTTTAAGAAATTACATATTGTAAACCTGCTTGTGAATTATAATTATAATAAGAGAACTAATTGATATTTTGTCACTTTGTTTAGTGGAACATGAAGACTTTAACTTTGTTATGAATTCTACTGCAGTTGTGTATTTTCATATTTGAATCTTTTCACCATGACGTTTTTCTTTTATTTCAGTGTTGATTCATCGACATATTCAACCTCATGTCACCTCGTTTCATGTGGAGA